ATTCTTAGTCCCCAAGTGCAGAACCTTACATTTATCAACATTAAACCTCATTTGCCACATAGTTGCCCAATATACTACCCGCATACTGATCCCAGATGAGGTCTTACTAATGATTTGCACTGGGGGGGGGGGGGGATGATATCTCTCTCTCTGGAGTCTATACCTCTCCTAATACAAGAGAGGATTTGCTCACTTTAGAGAACCCGCAGCTTGGCATTTCTGCCATTATTGTGCTTGTGATCTACCAGAACCCCCAGATCCTTCTCCACCACTGACCCCCCCCCCCCAGATCCTTCTCCACCATTGATCCCCCCCAGATCCTTCTCCACCATTGATCCCCCCCAGATCCTTCTCCACCATTGACCCCCCCAGTTGTACTCCCCCTAATATGTATGATGCATGCATATTCTTAGCCCCCTGTGCAGAACCTTACATTTATCAACATTAAACCTCATTGGCCCCATAGTCCCCCAATTACACAGAGCCCTGAGGTCGGCTTGTAAGTTGGAGACATCCTGTAAGGACGTTATTCCCCGGCACAGCTTGGTGTCATCTGCAAAGACTGAAATGGGATTTATAATCCCCGACCCTATATTGTTTATAAATAGATTAAAAAGTAACATCCTGACACTGAACCTTGGGGTACCCCACTAATAACACTGAACCTTGGGGTACACCACTGACACCCCAAGACCACGCAGAGTATGAATCATTAACCACTACTCTCTGAATACGATCTTTTGGCAGTTTTCTATCCATTTACATACAGATATTTCCAAGCCTGTAGATTTTACCTTACACATTAGCCATGTGTGGGGAGCTGTGTCACATGCTTTTGCAAAATCCCATGTCCACCGCCACCCCTCTGTCCAAGTATACCACGTTGACCACGCCACCCCTATGTCCAAGTATACCACATTCACCGCCACCCCTCTGTCCAAGTATACCATGTCCACTGCCACCCCTCTGTCCAAGTATACCACGTTGACCGCCACCCCTATGTCCAAGTATACCACATTCACCGCCACCCCTCTGTCCAAGTATACCACGTCCACTGCCACCCCTCTGTCCAAGTATACCACAGCCACCGCCACCCCTCTGTCCAAGTATAACCACGTCCACCGCCACCCCTCTGTCCAAGTATACCACAGCCACCGCCACCCTCTGTCCAAGTATACCACGTCCACTGCCACCCCTCTGTCCAAGTATACCATGTTGACTGCCACCCCTATGTCCAAGTATACCACGTTCACCGCCACCCCTCTGTCCAAGTATACCACCGCCACCCCTCTGTCCATGTATACCACGTCCACCGCCACCCCTCTGTCCAAGTATACCACAGCCACCGCCACCCCTCTCTCCAAGTATACCACAGCCACCGCCACCCCTCTGTCCAAGTATACCACGTCCACCGCCACCCTTCTGTCCAAGTATACCACAGCCACCACCACCCCTCTGTCCAAGTATACCACGTCCACCGCCACCCCTCTGTCCAAGTATACTATGTATTGACCCCTTTTTAAATATTGGCACCACATAGACCTTACGCCAATCCAGTGGTACTATGCCAGGCATTAAAGAGTCCCTAAAAATGAGAAACAATTACTTTGAAATGACAGAGCTCAATTCTTTAAGGCCCCGTGTGTGTATGCCATCCGGTCCAGGGGCTTTATTCACCTTTATTCTGTCTAAATATTTTTGGGTCATATCAATTGTGAGCCAATGTGGACCATCTGGAGCTGTCAATACCATGCCCATTATGGACAAGAGCTCCCCCATGCTCCTTTGTATACACAGAGCTGAAGAAGGGATTTCATACATTTTTGCAGTGTGTTCACATACAGACTTTTTGAAGAATTCCCATTTCTGTGTTGTGTTCATTGATGCCAATATTCCCTCCCAGTCTAAGTCTTGGAGAGCTGCTCTCAGCCTTGAAAAATTAGCTCTCTTAAAGTTGAGCCTTTTTATTTTTCCCGTATGTGCTTGTTGTTTACAGCTAACAATAAATGAAATCATGTTATGGTCACTGCTACCCAGATGTTCTTTTATATGGACATTTGTAATAAGCTCTGCATGGTTTGAGATTACCAGGTCCAGTAGAGCATCATTCCTAGTTGGGGCCTCTATGAACTATACCATAAAATTATCCTGTAGAAGGTTTATACATTTTTGCCCTTTAACTGTTCCTGCAGTGCCATTATTCTAATCAATTTCCAGGTAGTTAAAATCCCCCATTATTATCACTGTCCCAGCCCTTTTGATCTGTGCAAGGAGCTGAGTCTCTACCTCCTCATTAACAATAGACACAGAACATGGAAATGTAATTATATAGTGTAA